GCGGGTGGGGGGGAACCACGGAAAGGAGAGCGAGGCAGCCGAACTCCGTATGTGTGCGCATGCGCAGTTCGGCCGGGAGCCTCAACTGCTCCTGCAGACGAGCGTGCCGGCGATCTCACGGTCACGCTTGCTGCGGTGCTTCAGGTAAGTCCTACCAGTTAGTAGGTTCTTTTTTGCACTGCATTTTCGTTCTGAAGGGACGGATCGGGAACGGGTGCGCGCCGATTCCCAGATGTTGCAGTGGGATTGCGCCTGTTTGCTGCGCCCCCGATCCGTCCCTCTTCCGGGCCAAAACCTCCCGCGTGACCGGGGCCTCAGAATCATAGAGTTGGAAGGTACTTCCAGGGCCATCTAGTCCAACCCCATGCACAATGCAGGAAATTCACAACTACTCCCCCACACACCCAGTGACCCCTACTCCATGCCCAGAAGATTACAAGAAAACCTCCAGGATCTCCAGCCAAACTGGCCTGGAGAAAAATTGCTGCCTCACCCCAAAGTGGTGATCAGCATTTCCCTGGGCATGTAAGAAAGGGCGACAAGAACTAAGTACTGATGCAACCCTTCCTGCCCTCCCTTTCATGATCTGCCTAAGTTCACAGAATCAGCATTGCTGTCAGATGGCCATCTAGCCTATGTTTTAAAAACCTCCAAAGGAGAGTCAACCACCTCCTGAGGAAGCCTGTTCCACTGAGGTACTGCTCTGTCGGGAAGTTCTTCCTAATATTTTGCTGAAAACTCTTGATTTAATTTCAACTCGTTGGTTCTGGTCCGACCTTCTGGAGCAACAGAAAACAACTCCGCACCACATGACAGCCCTTCAAGTACTTGAAGAAGGTTATCATATCACCTCTCAGTCGTTTCCTATCCAGGCTAAACATACCCAGCTCCTTCAACCTTTCCTTATAGGACTTGGTCTCCAGACCCCTCACCATTTTCGTTGCCCTCCTCTGGACATGTTCCAGCTTGTCTATATCCTCCTTTTATCCGACCCTCCTTAGCTTCTGAGATCTGATGAGATCAGGAAGGCCCTGGGCCGTCCAGTTTAGGGCAAGAGCTTCCTACTGCAATAATTTTCTTTACTTGATACATTTACTGTGTCTTTCCATTCAAAGATATACAGATATTACCGCTAGATAAAAATTAGACCAAAGTAAAAATATACATCTTATTACTCAGCTAAGAATTCCCTATGCCTTTCACCACCAGGCTTCTCCTGGGAACCTTAGTCTTTCAGTGTTCCTTCAACAAGAGTAAAAGATTAGTAGCCCGTTGGTGGAACACATACAGAATTTTAGCTGAGTAATAAAATATGTACTTTTATTTTACATGCACTGTTGGCCTTGGCCTTTTTTACATTTCTTAGTGACTGGTGTGGCCCTTTCATTGTCTCCTTAGATATTATTGTTAATCATTATAATACTGTGCTAACACAGATTGTTAAACTCCTTTTAGTCAAAACTTTATTATGAGCCACATAGGCATTTCCCAGTGGTTGCTTCTAATAGGTGCACCAAGCACGTGGCACCTGATTAGTGCTGGAGAGGAAGCCTGTTAATTTGGAATAAGAAGAAAGCATGCCTTTGTTCCCACTGCACTAGACAGAATTTAAGTGGATATTTGAGAAGAGACAGAGCTGGTAGTGGTGGGTAATTGTGTGTCAAAAATCTAACTACCACCCTGTTGGGTCAGACCAAAGGACTACCTGACCTATTTTAACATTCTGATGTCAAAAATAGTTCCTAGATGCCTCCAGGAAGCTCACATAAAAGGGCATGATAGCCATCCTCTGATTTGCCTGCAGCCGCTGACATTCAGAGACATTTATTTTATCTTCAGCCAACCTTTCTAATTGAGATTCAAGGGAGGATACAAAACACAGAGAAGTATTTTAATCACATAGCATAAGACATCCGATAACTGTAATAGTTATGACTACAGAGCTTAAACAAAGCAAATAAAATGTCTTGCCTTTACGCCTGGAACTTCCATTTAGCTAGCATGGCAAGACCAATGCATCTTCACCCATTCATTTGTCTGGCCATTTCGGCAACCACTGAAGATGAGGTCATTCCCACATCTGGTAGCAGCAGCGAGTTCAGCAAGTTCTCTGCATTATGCACTTATAGGTACCCTCTTTCCTCTGTTTTGGGGCTGCTGCCAACAGATTTCATTGGCCCACCTCCTGCTCTAGTGTTTAGTAACTGCCCCTCTCCCACAGTCTTCAACCATGTTCACAACCGTATAAATCCATGCCTGCAATGAATGCCTGCCTCACAAACAGACCTCCCCAGCACCTGCAGACAGAAGATCCAGACAGCTACCACTGCTAATAAACCTATTCTCTCCTATAACTGGGTGACGTTTAAGGCGGCGGCCACCCCTCGTCTCGTGGCAGGGAGTTCCACAAGCTGACCACGCGCAAAGTGGTGCGAAGAAGGTCCAAGCAAAGGCCTGGCTGAGGGCTCACCTCGTCCCACCCGCCCCTCGAGTGGATCCTTGCGGAAGTGGATGCCGTGGACATCTAGATGGGCCTCGCCACCCGCGTTCACCGCCCAGATCACCTTCTCCGCCAGGCCGGCCCCTTCTGCGGCGTAAGGAGGCGGCGGCAACAGCAGCGGGAGGAGAAGGAGGGCGGCCAGAAGCGGCGGCCCACCGGTCCCGGCCGCCACCGTGGCCGCCACCATCTCCGGCTCTTTCCTTGCCCTTCAGCGCGGCAACAGCCCCGCCCCGCCGCCGCCGTTCCTGCACATGCCGTCCGCCTCACACCGACACCTTCGTGGCCTCAACCGCAGCAAGGGGGCAGCCTAACCAACTCGCTGTGCCGGCTACCCACAGCGTCAGCCAATCACCACACTACGTCGCATAGTCTCGCCACCCTGTTGGCTGCCAGAGTTCCTTTATTTGCGTATGGGCAAGGCAGCCGGCCCACAGACGCGCACAGCAAAGGAGCAAGTTGCGTTGAGAACACAAAGTGCGAGCGAACTGTTTGCGGGGGATAGCGCGGCCAGCGAGCGCTAAGGCAGTGGAACGAACCATTTGAACGGGAAAGGTTTTTTAAGTCCCTCCCCCGCCTCTACACACGCTTCCCGCCTTTCTCTTTACGAGCGGGTGGCATATTCCACCTATTGAGGTGATGCCATCCATGTTTGACGGAGGGGGGAGGAATTCGGGTTGTACTTTATCTTCAAACTGGAGTGGCTTATCTAGGCACGAGATTTTTTATTGCAAGCTATCGGGAAAGGGTTACTTTTCCCTTGCGACTGTTTTCACGGAACAAAATTAGCCCCGTCCGTTTCCCCTTCTCCCACCTTTCTGACACGTATTGGTAGAGCCCGTGACTGATTGCCCAATCAGAAAACTCCAGCGCAGCTAGTGAGCGCGATGCAGTATGGGGAGAGTAGTGGCCGGAAGTTGGTTCTTGAGCCGTTGGAGGTCTGGTGGTTGTCGAGGTAACGGACTGTGTCCCTGAAGTAGGGGCGGAGCTAGCTCCCGAGAGCGGGAAGAGGAAATCTGGGCCGATTCTCACTTCGTTCTCAGAGCTTTTGAGTACATAGATAGTGTCTTTCCTCCTTCTCTTCCATAGCACGTTCACGAAATTTCCTTCTGTGTCGCCCTGCTACAAGGTAACTCTCAGAGTGCCAAAATATACGCAGTTGGCTTTTCTCATAGTTGTATTTTGACATAAAAGCAAGCACGAAACGGGGGTGGGGGGGACATGCATACCTGCCAGTTCGCCTTGCTGAAGCCGCTGCGAGCCTCTCAGGGGAGGAATGCGCCTTTCTCTTCCCCCTCCCATGTTGCTAACAGCACCTTGTAGGGAGCGCCCATGGCGGAGACTGGGAAAGTTGCACGGGTTTTAAGTTCCTTCTTCCAGGATCGGGACTGCATGAAATGCAGAGAGGCCTCACTACACCCATCTTCCTTTTAAATAAAAGCTTGGTGCCAGTGTGGGATTTATGTATAGGCTAAGTAGGCTGAAGCCTAGGGCCTCTAAATCTAAGGGGCCTCCACAGCCCTCCCCCCCCCC